ATTTTTTTTTTTTTTTTTTTTTGTGTGTCCTGTAAAACTAAAATGAATTTATGTATGGTTAGTCGTAAAGTAGATGATTAAATTAGAATTAGTGTAAAGAGTAGTAGTAATTTGAATAATAGTAGAAGTAGTAGTAGTAAGATTAAAAAAGGTAGTGATTTTAGAGAGAGAGAGAGAGAGAGAAAAAGTAAGTAAGAAGAGGCAGTGTTGAGTTGATTAGAGTCAGTAGCCGTACGTGGTGAGAAGGGGATCACGTGAACCCAAAAGTGAGAGGGGGGAGTTGGGTAATGATAGGCATAAGCAGGTGAATGGGGGGGTGGGGATTGGGCAGTTTGGTGAGTATAAGTGTAGTTAGTGTGTGGGTATCAGAAGGAGAAGATGATTCAGGAGATTGATTTAGATAGTGTTTTGTTTTCATCTTGTGTTGCGTTGTGATGATGATGATGATGTGTTTGCAGTCAAAGATAAGAGAGCATATAGGAGGAGGAGGGAGGAGGGCTGAATTGACCCCACATGGATGATTTGATCACCTTAACCCCCCCTTGCTTTTCTTTTCTTTTTCTCTCAACACAGAATCAGATCGTCTAGAGATTGGTGATTCAGACAGAGTTGGACAAACCGGGACGACCACCGCTTTCCAAAAGATGCCCTCTCTTCCTTCCTCCTCTCTCTCTCTCTCTCTCTTTACATTTTTATTTTCGAATTTGACTAACCTTTTAAATATTTTCTTAATAAATAGGTAGATTTTTAAACTCCATTTCCATTCTAAATCAGACCCTTTATTTGAGAATTGAGTGTAAGTAATTCAAAATCGAAGTAAATTAAGAGTTTTTAACTAGATTTAGGATTAGGAGTAAGTAGCTAATTCATTTATTTTTTTGTAAAGATTGGTTCAAGAATAAAAAATTCACTTTTTACCAATGAGAAAACTATTAGATAAGGTAAGAAGGTAAGGTAATAAAGTGAGAGATTAAAATTTAATAAACGGTTTAAAGAAGTTGAAAAATGGTCCTAAAAGTTTGGTCCTAAAATATTAATTAAATCACATTATTATTATTATTATTATTAAGAGTATTAATGGGAAAAAAACAACATTAATAGTCTCGATTAGGTGGAGACAGAAATGAATGTTTGTTTTGATCCACACACCACATGCAAATTTATTTATTTTTTTAATTTTTGGGTTCTCGTATTTCTCGATTGCTACTGCCTCATTCCACGTGAGAGTCTTTTGTAAACCGTGGAGTTTTGATGGGCGTGTCCCCCTCCCAATATATATATATATATATATATATATATATATATATATATATATATATATATTTAATTTTTATATAAAAAAGCTAGAGAATCTGATTTTGTGGTGTTTTTAAGGCATTTCAAATAAACCTCGCCTATAAATATAAATATAATTTAAATAAGAGTGTTAGTAAAACGGCTATTTATTTTATTTATTTATTTAAAATCTGTGTGGGGTTATAGGATGATAATAATGATGATGTTACGTAGGTGGTTGGATTCGGTGGGACCCGGGGAGTTTTATTTTATTTATTTTATTAATAATAATAATAATAATAATAATAATATTTGGGGGGTGGGTGGGGTGGGGTGGGTTTGAATAAAATAATACATTTTCCAAGGCAAGGCAATGCAATATTATTGGGAGATCTTATCCGGTGCCACGTGGGTAAATTTAAAAAATGTGCATGAATTTGCATGGAATGCATGCAAAGAGGGATGATGGTTCAAAACGGAGAGCCCCCCAAAAGAAGGGAAAAGAAAAGGAAAAAAAAGAGAGGATTAATTAAACAACGACAACGACAACACAAATATTCATGTCAAGAACCTATAACGTTTGTGTTCCTCAAAAGCACCAATATACAACTGGAATGTCTTTCTCCTTCTTTTTTTTTTCTCTCTCTCTCTGTCTGTCAAATAATTTTATATATTTTGTATTTAATAAATCTTTCGAGTGTTTAACACCGTTCGTTCATAGTTCGTAACTTTTTGTTTGTCTTATATAGCTTTCACCTTTCAATCGTTTGGAGCGTTTGATTGATTTGTCCTGATTTGAACTGAAAAATTGGAAATTTTAAAAAATATATATATAAACACAATTTAAGAAAAATCAAATGGTTTATTAATTTAGAGGTTTGAATGGAGAAAAAGAAAAGGTAAATAGGCATGTTTTTTAATGAGGTAGAGGAAGACCAAAATCAGCCTTTTTGTTGAGCTTCTATGATAATGATATCTCTGTGTAGATGGGTGTTGTTTAAAACCTAGTATATATAAAACCAGAAACTTTATGGAATATCTGTCTCTATCCCTGTCTGTCTCTCTCTAGGGTGGCTGTTCTTCTTCTACCATGTTCTTTCTCTTTCTCCCTCTTTAACTGGGTCTCTCTTCTTTCTTGGTTTGACTGAGTGGAAAAAGAAGAAAAGAAACAGCTTGGTAAGAAGAAAAAGAAGAAGAACAAGAACAAAAGTGGGGGAAGAATTGGAAGATCTCAAGACAAACTTTATTGAGTTGTAGTAGTAGTAGCACTCTATTCTATTCTCCTTCTATTCTATTTATAATAATGGTGTTGTTTTGAAAAGGGTTTGTCAGTGTTTTAACCGAGACAGATAAAAAACACCAACTGTAATTCTCCTTATTGTCCCACCTTAAAAAACATCCTAATCCTCACTATTTATTGCTTTTAAACAAAATAGCTTACTCAAATAAGTTTTCTTAATATAGTTTAAATTATCCTAAGTTTCTAGCGATGGGTTGACTTGTTTAGTCCCACAGTCTAAATTTGATTTCTAATTAGTACATAAATTTCAAATTGAGTTCTAAATCGTCTCGAATAAAGTTGATATTAGTGGATCGAATTGGAAGTTAACATATGCTAAAGTTTGATAATTTTTCAAATGAGTTGAAATTTACAAAAATTTCTATGTTTATTTCTCTCTCGTTTGTTGATGGGTTGATTCTCGGCCTAATCAACTTTTACTGAGGAAGTTTATAACTTTGTAGAAGAAATGGAGAGCTATTTGTGTGCGCGGGTGTTTTTTTTTACTTGGTTTGACCTATTTTTACCTAATTTTTCGTTATCAAAATTATCATGCTTAAGAGATATTAGGCTTAAAATGAATTGAACTAACATTTTGAGATATGTTAAACGATAGAAAATAGGTAAGTAGCAATTTGAAAGTTATGTTCAAGCTTTACTTCTAGGATAAGAATATGTAATATCTACGAATAAAAAGAAGAAATAGTTGCTCGTCGTTGTGGTACGATCTCGAACAACTCTAAGACGATCTCTATAGAGCTGTATTGTCAAGATCAATAAACATATTAGGATTCTAGGAAGCTAAGTTAGAGCTCCAAAGGAGCTAAACTAAAAACAACAAATTGAGCTAGAATATAAGTATGAACTAGCTCCAAGGACGTAGACCATGAAAGATGATAAACTTTCAAGAATTAGATTTAAAAGGAATAATGAATTTTAAAGAGTTAGATCCTTAAGATGAGCTCAATTGAGCTAGCGAAAAACTTCGTGGCTAGTTTACCCTACCCAAGACCGAAGACATGATATTTAGATATGAAATATGACTTAAAAAGAATGATATAAGATAGATGATTGACTTAAAATTTAACAAAGTAAGATCTTACAAGTAAATCAGTTACACAACCACTTGTGTCGGAATGAAAAATGAAATGATGAAATTATAGAAAATTTATGAAAGATAATGTGGAAGAGATGTTGGTTGTAGGGTTAGGGTTTGGCTGATGTCCTTTCACACAGCCTGCTTTCTGCTTAATTTTGTCCTACCATCATCATCCTCCTTCTCTGCTTTTATATCCTCCTTTTTCCTCCCCTTCTGCAGAGATGCCCCCCTATCAATTGTGACACTGCTCACTAAACCCTCACTCTCTCTATCAATATCTTTCACACTGTTCTGATTTCCAATCAGCTTTGAAATTTTTTAAAATTGAGCTACCAACCAATGGTGAAAATATTTTGTTTTTTTTTTAGGGGGAAAAAAAAAAGAAGAAAGAAAGGAAGAATGAAGTTGAATTGAGTCCAAAATGGGTATCACATGAGTTGGTCAATGGGAAAAAAGGAGGGGTGCAGAGAGGTGTAAGAATGGCATTTGAAGTACTCAAAAAGTAGTATGAAGAAATGATATGTTTGC